GAAGAAATTGTTATTTTTTTTTTATAGATTTTCGCAACATTTTGGCCTAGATGAAGTTGTTTATGTACAAAGTAGCATTACGTGTTGATTTTAACGACGTAGAATTTAACAAAAGGAATCGGTCTTCACACTGTGTTTGATTTGTCTCTCGCTTTGTGTTCTTCTGAACGCTTTTGAAAGCCGTATTGTGAAACACTTCGACGTGATTTAGTGCTTCAGTTAAGTCAGAGCCACAATCAAGCACAGTTAATCTCTCAACCAGTGGTGTTTCCGTAAAACGAGCAAACGAAAATTTCCCTTTCTTATCATAACGTGACCCCACTCTTTCGGAGACACGCACTAAAAGGATAAAATCTGGAGAAACTACAGACACAGGAACATTACGCTTTAGTGTTTCGAAATAATGCATTAGCGTCTCGTAACCCTTTAAGGAATTTAGATACTTTTTTCAATTGAGGAAGTACGATTCTACATGAAAACATTTAGAATTTTATAGAGTGCGTTTATAAAATTTTATCAGCTTTGTTTTGTTTTACTAAATAATATAATAGTGTTTTAAAGTAATAATGTTGTCTGAAGATGAGATGTCTTTGTCTTGGGCACAATCGTGGCTGATGAAATAATTTTAGATGTAGTGAATAGGTTTTTATGCTAATTTAATTCAGTGTTGTCGAGACAATGTGATGTACAATTTAAAAATGTAGCCTTTGTTTCTTAAATAAAAGAATTAAGAATAGAATTACTTCTTCGGATTGTCATTCAGTCATATTTAATGTAAAGTCTTAAAACACCTTGTCTCATTAGTTTTATTATTCGCTCTGTTGGTATGTCTTTTTTTTTTTTTGAGTTTTTTTTTTGAGTTTTTGCGTTTGCAGTACTGAAGAGCGCTTGTTAAAATTTACGGGCACGTACTTCCGTCTGTACACACGAAAAACTCTATAAATCAATTTTTATTAAAGTTGATACTGGAGAATTTTACAGTATCTCGAGTGATTTTAATTTTTATAACTTTCATCGGACGGTATCAACGAACACTTTTAATAAGCGGGCAATTTAATTTTCGAAATTTATTTCTTTTTAAAAAAATATATGTGTATTTATCGGTAATACAGCATACAATTTTAACGTAATTATTTTTACCCTTCGAATTATTAGGATGTTATTCTGATTTTGATGAAATAAATAATAATAATCGAAGTTAACTGACTTCTAACACATTCGTCGTCTAGTATAAATTGACGTATGTTTCAGAAGTACTTCATGCCTCCATCATCAGGGCTGAGTGTTACCGCCCTGATGATAGAGGCAAAAAGGACCTCCGAAACTTCGATGAGTTTTTACCAGACTACGTAGCGCATTATACCAGAAGAGACATGTTCATGTTGACCGCTGTTATAATCTGAAATCTCACATAATAAAAGTAAAATACAAATGAAATAGAACGATGTTTATGCGTCTATTTAAAGTGCAAGTGATATGCAACTCCTTTAAGGCTGCTAAATCTGTAAATAAAAATTAATAGCTTATAAAAAAAGCAGACATCGGCTGCTGCTGTAGGTTTTGGTGTGTGGGTGGCATAAGCTGGCTAACGATGTATTTTACCTTATGCGTTTTCCTGTGTATCAGTGTATTGAGTACCACTGACACACGATATTTGAGAAAAAATGCATTTTTTTTTTTCCGTTTTTCAAAGTGTTAGCCTACCTCACGCGGTTAACATGAATGCTTCTCCATTTTTTTTTATTAATATTTGTCTCTATATCCATAATACTACGTGATCGGCTTAACTGTTTTGTCAACATCTCGTATTTCAAATGTATTTCATCGTTCGTGTACAGGCTCTGATTTAAAACACAATCCGGTACGTTAGGCCCCTGAAAATGGTCGGATTCTTCTCACCCTAATTCCCCGCCGGCTTCTTGGAGACTCCGTATTGGCCCGCACATTTGCCACCTTCGTTTCTAATTCCTTTGATTATCGCTCCTTCAGTCTGCCTTCCCTTCAAACCTACATAAAATCCTCCAATTCTGAGCTTCACCACTTTAGCCCTGAAGATGGTAACAGAATTTTTATCCGAAACGGTATCTACCGATGAGTCTGCATGAGGACAAAACCCAGTATGACAGATTTCTCTTGTATTTTTATATCTTTGTTTGTCTAATAACCTCGCCTTTTTAACCAGTATCATAAATATCATTGCTCAAACATGAGTTCTGTTTATTGTATTTTATTCTCTATGAATTTTTACTGCTCTGTAGTTTTATACTAGAAGCATGAACATTGCAATTAAAATACTTTCACGTACCTTCCTCGCAGTCCTCGTCACCAGCTGGCCGGTAGGGTGTACCTCATTCTGAGAAATGCAAGGACTGGACCACTGGGTTATAGAAATCAGTGTTTGGCACTCTGCTAAATGTTCCAGATACCGACATGACAGTTGTACATAAGCTATTTGCATTTAAAGTTTTAACCTCTGAAGTATAAATATTACTGCAATTTGTCACCGGTATGTGGTTAAAATATACTACGCGAATATCATGTCTGTCCGTTTTAATATTTTATACTCAGAACGTATTAACGGATTTCAATAACATTTGTATTGAGTGACGATCTAATTTGAAGTCAATTTAGGTCGATATGTGCTTACTCCTTTGAAGACGAATCAGGGGGGAGTTCTAGGGTGGATTGTAGGAGAGTAGAAGCAATATGAAGAATTATAGGGAGATGTGAGAGAGATTTCTAGAGATTGTTAGAAAGTTCTCAAGCCGTGCAAGACATTTAAATCGCAGAAAGGCATTTTAATAATATTTAGACTTATCTGTCGTTAGATCGTCCCGATATTTTGTTCATGGGCTGACAAAAATGTTCGTATTATGATTACGCATTCAAATTCTGAGGAAGAATGAATTATGATTTTGTTATATCTTATGAATTCAGTCTCAGATAAGACAAATATCACACCTCGCTCGTGATAAAAATCACAGTTTACTACTATGAAATAGTAAAATAATTATAACTTGCGCAGTACTGTATCTCTTAGATTTACATATAAATTGAAATAAACCCTAGCTTAGGCGTAATTTTGTAAAGGGCCTTAAGGAACAAAATACATTATTTTAAATGTATATTTATTTTTAAATCAGTATATTGTTTTTGATTCCAGTTGTAAGAAACTAAATATACAACGTGTTCACATAAAATATATACCATTTTACAATAACATTTCTCATGAAGTATAAGATACAGGGATTAGAACAAAACGCATTTGGGTTGATTATATGGTTAAGTGTTTATAACCTACAACAACACATCTTGAAAATAAACGTCTGACTACAAAACAAACAACTCATCATGAAAATAGAAAATCTACAAACAAACCACAGATCAATATAATACATTGCATAAAAATATCTAATAATTTTAAAATATTATAAAATTGATATATATCATTTAACTACAACGTTTGTGTATAGACTGTGAAAATAAATATATACTAAGTTTTATCCATGTTCAGTGAAATCATTGAGAGTGTTCCAGCATATATATATATATATGTATATACAATTTTACCGTAAATGTTTTAATAAAGTCAAGGGTAAAACCCACTGCATCTCTCATCCTCCCACCAATCAAAGGAGATTGGTCGGATGAACAACAACTGTTTAGCTTTTTCTGCTTGAAACACCATTTTAGCTGTGAATTTAGTGCCACGGGTGGACAGATTTGAAAACTGATGTGGTACTATAAACTTCATCCTATAACTTACTCGTATGTGTTTATTTTTCATTAATCTTACTCTCGGTTCATGAGCGATGTTACGATAAAATAAGAAAATTTTATGAGAACACCCTGTATTATTTAGCTCAGGTTTTTTACCGGTGGCGACCTCTTGTGAACACAGTAATGAACCTTCAGATTGCATAAAAGGTGGGGAATTTCTTGCGTAGCTGAGCTTAATATCAGCTTCTCAAAAAGAAAACTGTTCCATGAAGCCAGTAATTCTGTTATTTATATAGTTTCCTTTAATTACTCTCGAAGGTATTAACACAACTTAAAAGTACTAACGTTCGTTACTTCAAGTTCAGTCATTAATTTTTTTCACTTCAGAGATCA